CCTCATAAGTTTTGACCAACAAAAACCCACGTCGATCAACCTCATTTTCAAACACATCCTCACCCAATTCCATAACATCTACATTATTATTGAAAATCAAGTCATTATTGATATTCACTTCATAATTTGAATTTTCTCTCATTCCCGCATCCGTTACGTTCTCCATGGAATTTGATTTTGTATTTTCAAACTCCTCTTGATATTGTACAATGTCTGTTAAGGAATCACGTATATTTTGCTCCCAATAATTCACCCACTGTTTCTCCTCCTTCGTGCTTTCCACACCATCTTTGGTCACTATTTTTTTTGCTGCTCTTCCTGCCGTTACATCACTACCTTTCTTACCATCATCTAAACTTTCATCCTCTTAAGCGTTCAAATCTAATGAAGCATCGTCATAACTCTTTGACGATGAAGTATTTGAATCATAATACCACCACCTTCCTTGAAGGAATTCTTTCCATGTTCCTCGACCATCCAGATTGAGAACATGTCGAGGAACATGAGATTATTAACATGAATCCTTAGATCTTCATTAATCAGTGCATGTGTTTGAGTCTGTATGTGAACTTTTACAAAATTGATATGTTTTTGGGAAATCATATCATCGTTTATGCACACAAAATCTCCTAGTAGTGATACCATCTTCCAAAAAAATGCCTCTGACCAAGCATGATATGGCATGCCATACAAACGAATCCAAGTTCTCTTATTAACAACCATTATACGAGGATGTCACCAATCAATAGTATAAAATTGCTTAAATAAGTCATCTTTATACTTAGTTGTAAGTTCTCCCAAATCCTCTGAACTTTTCAATTTCAACAAAACCATATCGTCACCCATAGTAATGGCCTTGACATTCAATATAGATTCCCGTAAAAAGAAGTCAGCCACTACAAAAAAATGCGTTAGAATATGATTTATAATATTTATTTCAATGTTAAGATATTCTAATTTTTATTTGTTGAATATATATAAAATTGCGTTATTTTTAAGTGATATTATATATTATATATTATTTTAATATAATTAAATTATACTAAATTTATCAATATTTTGTTAATTAATTCAACTTGCAATAATATAATTTAAATTATATAATTATGATATGGAATTAATACATCCATATGTAAATTGAATTTATATTCAACACATAACTATTAATTATATCTTAGTAAATAAATATATTTTTTATATTTATATTTTTTAATAAATCTATTTACTTATATTTTTTTAGACAGTTTTAAGAGACATTTTTCAATGAATATCAATAAAATTTTCTTGGTGATCTGTATTCTATAACAAATTATTTATATATATATATATATATATATATATCATAATTAAGACACTTTAAATATATAAAAAATAAATAAATTAATACTGATATAGTATTAGTTAATACAATATATTATTTTGTATTTTTATTAAAATATTATTATTATAACAAATCTTAATTATCTTGCCTTTTATATGTTATATACTAAACTTATGTCTAAATTTTGTGTGACTCAGTTTATAACGTATTGTAATTTTAATTAATATAAATAATATTTTGTATGATAACTAAAAAATAATTTTTAGCTTGTACTTAATTTTTATTTAAATTTTTTAAATATTTAATTTTTTAATTATGATAAAAATTTTAAAATAAAATATAATTAATAATAATTTATATTTGATGATTTTGTCATAATATTTTATTTTTATTAAATATTATAGTAATAATTATAAATACTATTAAGAGTAATTAATTACAATAATTAGAATTTATTATTTGGTATTAAAATTTTATAATAATAATTTTATTCGTGTATTTAATTTTTATATCATAATAAATAAATAGATAAATAAATTATAATATTTAAAATATAAATCAAGTTTATCGGTAATATTTGTTTTCACATGTGTAATTTATTTTAAAAGTTAATCAAAAAAATTTTTAGTTTCCTAATTTTTTTACATTAAAAATAATTATTTAATAATTACTTAATAAATAATTATTTTTTATATTTAAATTATAATTCTTTTTAAATTACATTATATATATATATATACCAACATGTGCAATGCAACCTTATAACTAAAGCAAAATATTTTTTAATTGTGATTTATTTGACATAGATCTAATTTTTATTTTTATTTTACTTTTTTACCATTAACAATGGTGTCAAAAATAAGTTAGATGACTCAATAATTTTGGAAATGTATCTTTCAAATTCTTTATTGAGAAAAAGAAAAGACGTGTGATGGCTGTCGGGCACTCAATTTATTTGGACTATGCTCCTTATAATTTTTGTTTTACAAATAAATAAATTTGTTGATAATAAAATGTAAAGGCTACTCTAATCCTTTATATACAATCAACCAGGATTAAACTCCTTGACAAAATAAACAATAATTTAAGTATACTGTTTGATACAATGTAAAGGACTTAAACACCAATATATAAAGACTGTAACCCAAATAAAAAAGAAAAGAAAAGACTGTAACCCGACTTGAATACCATCTAAATGGGAAAATGAAAATCAAAATAATGATCTAATGTTTTGAAATTCATATCATGAAACTTATCAACAACTTCTTATTTAAGTTTAACCTAATGGCCTCGAATTATGTGAAAAATCAATTCTGTCATCAAACTGAAAATGAGTTGAGCAAAATATTGTAAATTGGCAGTGATTTCGTTCAATGAGGATCAAGCCGTGTAGGGCTCAAATTGATTTACTTTTGAAGAGGATTGATCATGTGCCATAAATAAAAGTACCCTATGGTACAGAGGAGACACGTATATTATATTTTTGGACAAAATAAGAAAAATGAACATTGATGTTCTCATGTCGTGGCATTGCAACTTCAAAACGCAATGCATGCATCATGAAATGGAAAATGAATGATTTGACGAATTCAAACGAGTGAGTGGAACATAACCAATAATCATAGATAGAGACAAAATCCCTGATTATTTCCTTATTTAGTAAAACGAACACAATCAAATTAAGTTTTTTTAATGTTTTCATTATTTAATTATTTTTCACATATACAATTTTTTTTTAAATGGTTTAATTCAGATTTGACCCGAGTTATGCAACTGAATATAATAGGTGAGTCTACCACTAAATATTTTTTACATATACAAGAACTCGAATCCAAAAATTTATTTAAGCAATACCAAATCTTTTGCTAATTTAATCAAACTTTGTTGGTTTCTCACATATATAATTTATATGATATTCAATAAACAATTAATATCTGAATTTAGCTAATGGAATGTAATTATATAATAAAACTAAAATTTGCCAAATACTAAAAGTATAGATGAAAATAGGTTAACTTGTCAGATAGAAGTTACAACTTAACTTTTTTAAAACTTAATCTAATTTAGTTTATTTAATTAATAGGCTTAATTTTTTTAAAAAAAATTATTTAATTAAATAAATCAGGCTCAAGCTTAAAAAAAGTCTATTTAACCTATTAGAATAGCCTATTTAAAATTTATAATAATATATTAAATAATTTTATATAAAAATTATAATATAATAGTATATTAATAATATATAAAAATTCAATTCACTTTTACACAAGCATAATTTGACAAGAAAATTAAATGTAATAACTTCTGAAAGTATTTTTAAAAAATAATTATAATCATTATTTTTAAAGTATTTTTATTCTAATAATATTTTTTATTTATTTTGAAGGTTGATGAACAACATGATGATATATTTTGTTAATTCTTATTTACTATAAAAATATTGTTATTTATATATTTTAGTTTTTTGTTTGTTGCATTTACTAATTTTAAGTCTGAAACTTATTTAGTTATATTGTGTTTGTTGATTTAATGTATAAGACTTTATACTACTAGATTTGCTTAATGATTTATAAATTAATGTTCATTTTATTATATTTTTTTGTATATATAGTGATTTACTTATTTAAATTAAATATGTGGCTTAAAAATGATAAATAAGAATATGTAATTTTATTATACATATTTAACGTGTTAAATTATTTTTTAAAAGTTTATTTAGATATAAGCCATGACTTTTAAATAGACATACCTATTTAGATGATTTAATAGTTTATTATAAGGAAAGAAGCTTAATAATTTATTGAATATTTCAATACTAAATAGGCTATTAAAAAGGCTAATTAGTTTTAAAAAAAGTTAAACTTAATAAAAAGCCTATAATAAGTAATATATTAAATTTAAACTTCAAAATTATTAAATATGTTAAATCTATTTATGTAAAATTTAACTTATTTTCACTGAAGGAAAAAAAATCGCATATAGCCAATAAAAGGAATCAGAAACAGGAAAGGGAAATAAACCAATAAGACCAGACCATATATTCGGTTTCTTTTATCTATATACTTGATTTTCTGTTGAAGAAGGATTACAACTGGTCCTACATAGATTTCGTTATATGTCACATTCAATATGTCTGTGCTAGCACAAATTCTTGGATCTTGCTTGACTTGTAACTTGAGTTCTTGACTACAAATGAAAAAATTATCAATTTATTCAAATTAACAATAAGAAGCAACAACTGACCAATTGATCATAATTAGGGAAGGGGGTATTAGTTATGCGCATGCTTCAGTATAATAATACAACAAACACTTTCCAATATATAAAATACGAGAACGACCAGAGGAGGATGTCCTTAGATTGATTAGGTAAAAATGCTTGAATCATTGTGTTTGACTGAAACATACAGAAAGAGAAAGGGGGGAGAGGAAAAAATCAGAGTTCTGATTTGTACAAGGAGCTTCACTCAAGGTAAATGTAGATAGCTTTGTTAAATATTATTTTGTCTATGTCAAAGGATGCGCGTGCACGTGTTTCCAACACCCAAGAGTTGAGAGATTTTCATTTTTCAATGGTTACCGTACTTGATTCAGTCCCCACAATCATGAATTATGTTATCCAAATATTACAAGAATAAAGGTCATTCTCTAAAGATTTGCCGATAGTATCCACAAAAGAAAAAAAACAATGTCTCGTTCTAGCATTAATTTAACCCAAGCTGATACACAATAATCATTTACGCTCATGCCAACCAAACCATAACTACCTAAAGTATCAAAGGACCAAAACAGCACAAGTTCACAATATATCTTACAATACAGAATATATGATATGCTTCGCGATTATTCGGTGCCATCTTTTACTTAAAATCTATACAGACAAACAAACGACAACTGCATCAGAATCAAACCCAGAGAATAATTTCCGCTGAAAAGTTGATTTTCTTTCAAATATTAAACTTAATAATTCCACAAGCTAGCAAGGTCCACTGGTGCAGCTGAAGCAGGCGGGTTCTGCTGATTCTCAAAGTGCCTCCTACCCACATCACAATTTAACACACCTGAAGAGATTTCAGCGTTCACATCAGTAGTAAGACCTGTTTCCTGTGAAACACTGATCATTTCCCTCTCTGGTTCGAAACTGTTCCTCAAGCTTGATCCATTTCCATGGTTATTCAGTAAGGCTCTAAGAATTGTCTGATCCTGGAGGTTGCAAACAGAAGCAGGTAATGGCAAATTTGGTGGAACTTGAAGTGGAGTTACCCCACAAGTAGAGTAAAATGAATGGTTTGAAGAAAGGCCATAAAGGGTGTTGTTGTTGAAGGAATCGAACATCCCTCTTTGAACATCTATTGGATTGGAGAAGCAGGGCACGTAAACCGATTCAGTGACACCAAGTGCTTTGGTGGTGCCAATGGAAGGTGAGGAATCAGTGAGAGGAGGCAAACTAGAAGAACCCAATTCATTTCCATAAGAGTCCAACCTCATTATCCCAGAAATATGTGTCTTCTTGCCACCTGAGCTCTTCTGAAACACCCTGCAAATCACCCACTCATTCTGCAACACAAGAAACAGCATTGAATTGAATCAAACTCAAACAACATGACACCATAAAATAAAAAGAGGTACAAAGGAATCAAAAAGGTCAAGCCAAAATCCAATTTTTATTATTATTACCTTAGCAGTCTTGGGGAGGTTGTGGACAGAGAATTTACCCTCAAGTCTATACTCATGCATGACCCAGTTTGTTTTCTCTCCTTTGGGTGCTCTTCCTTTGTAGAAAACCAAAGTTTTCTTCATTCCCACAAGAGTTTTTTCTCTGTAAATCTCTTTGTCTTTCCCTGTGGCCTTCCAGTATCCAGCCTCAGTGGCTCTGTTGGTCCTCAACCCAGTTGGGTATTTTCTGTCTCTCACACAGAAAAAGTACCACTCTTTCTCTCCCAGTTTGGCTTTCCCTATAACCAAAACACATGCACACAACACAAAGCTATAACTTTTAAAAAAATAACCAAAGATAATGAATTCATTAAAACAACCAAAACCAAAGTGGGCCTTAAAAAGCTTTGTTTATTTATTTAACTTACATGGCAAATCCCATGGCTCAGACCTGTTCAAGTCAACCTCTCCAATGGCTTTAGCAGAAAAATTTGTGTCAGTTACCTTTCTGTAGAGGTAATGACTAATAAGCTCTTCATCAGTTGGGTGAAAACGAAACCCAGGAGGCAAATCCATCTGATCCTCTTCCTTACTCAGGACTAAAACGTTTTCCATTTCCAACAACTCTAAAACCAACCCCTTTGCTTTCTTTGCTAAGAATTTTGATCAGCTAAAGACAACTTCGAAAAGGGTCACTCTGGTTTCCAATATCAGGTTTCCAATATCAACAAACTCCTCCACAACCTTTTGTTTCTAGTGAAAACAACTTGGTGGAAGGGGAGGGAATGTTCTTTTGTTGTTGTTTTTTAATAGAAAGAACTGAATTCAGAAGAATTTATATAACAACAATTCGCTAGGGGAGTTTCCCATTGAAAAGAGAAACCACAGGAAAGTCCACAGAAAGTGAGAGCAAAAAGGGAAAGATGGTGGTGAAAATCATGGAAGAGATGAAACTGAAAAGTGGTGGTAACTGGAGAGTGGAGATTTTAATAGGTGGAAAAAAAAAGCAGAGAAAAAGAGCCCCTAAATACTGGTGTGGTGTGTTTGGAGAGAAAGAAACGTGGAATGTAAAGCAACCTCGTTAGCTGTTTATAGCCCACACCTGTAACTTTTATGCAATTATAATTTTATTCCTTTAATTTGTTTTGACTCAACACACTATGCCCAAATTCCATGCATGTAATTATGATATTGCTAAGTGTTTACTTTGTAAACTCACTCTTTTATTTAAAACATTAATTTTCTACCAAAAAAATGATCCCCCTATTTTGGGGGAATTTAGAATTTTCAAGTATTTAATTACAATAATAATAAAAAAAGACATAGATGTTGATTGGTGCTAATAAGCTTATTAAATAATTTTATAATAAGGTTTTTTATTTTTCTCAATCATCATGTGGTGTTAATGGAATAAATGTTACTGTTGATAATACATAAGCCAGCATCTTCTTTTCCAGAATCAGTTATATCACTTTATCGTATTTAAATTCCCAATATGGCCTTCAGGGTTCATTGATCCAAAACGACAGAAAAAGAGATGAGAATAATAACTGCTTTTTGTTAAAGTTTCCGAAACCGACATTGCAAAGATATTTCAAACTATTAAAGTTGAAAACTGAAAATGGATACTTGTAAGGCCAGGCAATTTTATTTATTTTTATTTTTAGTTTTGCACAAAGAGCTGAAGTTGTGATACACGAACCTTGATTTAAAAGAGAAACTTTAGGTGATGGGAAACGAAGAAGCGAAGATAAATGAAGCAACCAGCTCTGGAATATTGCAGACACTTGGACAACGTCTGCAATGACTTCAAGTTAAACCTTAGAAGGGGGCAAATCCGAATTTAATCCCGTAAATTCGGTAATTAATTCGGAAAATTTTATTTGAGTATATTTTTTTTAATTTTAAAATAACACTTTTTTTTATGAATGTTTCAATTGAATTTTTTTTCTTTTCTTTAATTTTAAAACAAACTTTTCTCTAATTAAAAATCACTTTATAATTATTAAATTAAGAGTTTTTTTTTTTAATAAACAACTCTCATAATTCTGATGAATAATTATGAAAGTATCTTTCAACGTATTTATAAATAACTGATTATATATATATATATATATATATGAGAAAAGAATTTTTTATATTAATATAAATTTAAAAAAATTTATATTTGATTTGAACTTTTTATTTAACTTACATTTAATAAGTTATAATTTATTAATTTACAAACCGTTAGATATAAATTAAATAAAAAGTTCAAATCAATTATAAAACTTCTTAAATTTATATTAGTGTAAGAAAATTCTGTCTCTATATAAATAATGAGATAACATAAATGACATCTAGTAATAAGTTTTAACATTTATTTTGTCTAATAATTTTTATAAAATATAAGATTAATTAATTTAATTATTAATTATTTAATATTATTTTTATAATAATGTTCACATGTAGTCTCATTTAATTAAAATTTTAACAACAACTGAATTTAACAAATTTTTAAACTAATTATTAATTATTTAATATTGCTTTTATAATAATGTATATAAATTTTTATATAATTTAAATATTTATAAGTATGTTATTTAAAATTTAATTTACATATATTTTAAAAATTATTATCTATTAAAATAAAGTAATGCGGTAAAATATTTATTAATTTTATTTTTATATAAAATTTTATAAAATTTATTTTTTAATAAAAATCTTCAAATCAATAATTAAGTTAATTATTTTTATATTTTATGAAAAATTATTAATCAATTTAAATATTAAAGTTTGACATTATTTTTTTAAAAAATAACAAAAATAATACAAATATTATAATTTTTATATAGAAAGATATAAAAAAATTTAAAATTATATAAAATAATAAAAAAAATTTTGAATTACAATTTTTATCTATAAAATTTAAAATAAAATAAAAAAATAAGTAAAATATAAAATTGTTACAGTAAAAACGAGGATATTTTATATGTTATTAGTAGATAATTAATATAAAAGAAAAAATTTACTGAATTTTACTTTTTAATAAAATATTTTTGTTTGTAATATAAAAATAAAAATAGAAATATTATAGCATTAATAAATTTAAATATTGGAACAATTTTAAATGACGGCTGTGACCGTAATAACAGCTAAAGTAGCCGCCATGTGAGTAGCGTTAAAGTGAATTTTTATTTTAAAAAATTTCTTTTAATTATGAAAGTGCTCTCTTAATGTTAGTGAATAATTATGAAAGTATCTTCTATAACATAAAAAACGAGCTATAGCGTTGTAAAATGGCCACATGTTGTCACAAAATTTAGATGGTACAACAATTTCAAATAATAGTCAGCAGCAAAATTAGTGGCCATAAAATAGTGCTATAGTAGAATTAAGGTGATTATTAAAATATATATATATTTTTATTCTAAAAAATATTATTATTTTAGGGATTTTTTTAATAGGGATAACATTTGCATGTCTCTCCACATTTCAGAATTTTAAATTTCTTAATTGGACATACTTTTCCTTGCTTTTATTTACAGTGCAACACCCACATTACAGCTAGTAGTATCATTTTTTTTTATCAGTTTTTATTGTTATTTTCTTCTGTGTTTTGATTTTGACATATGATTTTTTATTTTAACTATGAATATGTCAAAAATTTGAGTATTTTAAATTTTTGAGTATTTATGTGTATATAGTATAATTTATTTAATTTGTATAGAAATATTTAAATAAAGTTTTGATTCCTAAAAAAATATTTTTTATTTTTAAAATAAATTCTGAAATATTATTATTTTTCATATAATTACTATATTAGTAATTTATTATTGTTTTTAGTGTGATCCTATATACCATTTAGCCTAATTAATAAAATTTGATAAAAAGTTAATGTGAATGATAATGTAATATTCATGATGTGATAATTATATTTTGAATGATACCATGACATTTATATTTATATTTTTATTATTTTTTTAATCTCAATTTTAGAATTTTTAAGTTTAAAAAACTACAATTTCATTTTAAAAAAATAATGATGTTATGTTATTATTAGCACATCTTGTTTATATTATGTATTAATTAAGACACAATTCAATTATTTAAGTAAATAACGAAATAAGTTGACAAATTATTAATACAAAGACTAAATAAAAAAATTTAAATTTTTAATATCCAAAACTTTCTTTAATATTAATTTTTTTAAAAGATATAATATACTATGCACTATCTCGCTATTACATTTTGTGCATTAGTGATTAAGATGGTAAGATTAATAATTGTGTCTTTTAATGATATCTTATCTTTTCGTGTAACTTTTAGTGTCATCAGAAATTAAATTTAAATGTAGTATTTTAGAAGAAAGTTAAACTTTCATGTACTTTTATTATCAAATTTAAATTTTATTTTCTAAAATTCTTGTTTCATCTTCTAAGGTCACAAAATTAATGATAAATGTTTAAAATTGGCATTTAATTATTTTAAGAATTACTATCCAAGAAAAAAAAAGATAATTTAGTTTAGGTTTAATTATATTTTTTATTTCTATAAATATTGGTCATTCTATAATAAGTTATTTTAAAATTTTTTATTAAGATTTATTATTTGAAAAGTTAAAAAGTTAAAATTTAGTCTCTAACCTCAACTTTTCTATAAATGTTGAGTTGGTTGACAAGAGTAAGCTCTTTACTTCCACTTTTACTTAATATCTCATATTATTTAATTTAATAATATTTAAATATTTACAAATAAGTTTATAAATATATTTTACACAATTACAAATATATTTCTGAACATATTTTACATAATTACAAATAAGTTTTTTTTTCCTTTCCTCTCCCAACCCTTTCTCTATTACCCTACACTCACCCGTTCCCCTCCCCCAACTATAACCTTATTCCCTCTCCTCTCACCTCTACTCCAACCTCTTCTATACTATTCCACCCCCACCCTCATTTCTTTCCCTTCCCATCCCTCACCCTTACCCCTTTATCCCAACCTCTCTCCTTCCCCCTCAATCCCAACTTCATCTCCACCTCGCACTCCTCTTCTTCTCCTTCTTTTACTCCCACCCCCATCCCCACCCCTCACTTCTACCCCAAACTTGTTCCCCATTCCCTTACTCTCAACTCCTTTCCTTCCTTCCCTCCACCCTACACCTCTACTCGAAGCTTATTTCTCACTCTCTGGCTCAGAACCTCACTCTTGCACTCTCTTTCACCTACACATTTTATGTTAGAGGTAAAATAAAAATAAAAAAATACAAGTGAAGCATTTTTATTCTCAAAATCAAAACTTGACAAGAAAAATACAAACCCTAAAACACAAATCCAATTACAGTACGGAGGAAAAACACAAACCTTGTTTATGAAATAGGGATTGACCCACACAAGCACAATAACATAACCAAACATAAAAGTAAGAGCACTAATCTAACCCAAAACCACACCACAACTCTTTCCATTGGCAAAGAAGGCTCCTTCGCGCAACCAGTATGGATAGGGGTGGACAACGGGATGGAGAAGGGAAGGGTGGGATGGGTATCAGAGAAGGGGAGGGTGGAAAGGGAGAAAATGTTTATTTGTAATTATATAAAATGTGTTTAGAGATTTATTTATAAATATTAATTT